TGAGGATGGCACAAGGCAGGGCAGTGTTTCATTCTATTGTGTATAAGGTCACTGTGGGATGGAACCGATTCTACGTCACCTAACAAAAACACAAGTGGTATTTCATGAGGAGCCCCAGTGATGTAGTGGGTTACAAGTTGGGCTTCTAACCACAACTTCAGCAGTTCCAAACCCCCAAGCACTGTAAATTCCATTGCATTGGCCTATGTATCGATCATTTTACCACTACCACGCTCTTTTCACTTTCATGCCTGTGCTTTGAGGTTAGGAAATAAAAGGCTCCCCCATTTGTTCTTATTTAGTAGTGTTTTTAGCAGGATTGGGTGTTGGGTTTTTATCAAAGGCTTTTGATGCATCCATTTTCATAATAACGTGCTTCTTGGCCTTCATTTGTGTGATGAATTACACTGATTGTTTTTCTAATGTTGAACTATCCTTGCATGCCTGGCGTGTGGACATTGATCTGGTCATTGTAACCCTCTCAACCACAAAAGAAGTCCAGATCCGGACAGCCTCACTCCTTTTGTTATATGTGTCTATTCAGCTTTTCTGTGGCAGTCCATGTTTGCTCAGCCAGGAAGTGTGTTTCTAGGTTCTTTAATTTGTCGGCATACAGGTCTTTATTGTTCTGTAATCTTTTTTTCTTTTCATCTTAGTCTGTTGTAACATCACCCATTTCTTTTCCTTTTTGTTGTTGTTATTCTCTGTTTTTTAATCTTTAAAAAAATCATTTTATTGGGGACTCTTATACCTCTTATCACAATCCATATCCATCAATTGTATCGAGCACATCTATACATATGCTGCCATCAACATTTCCAAAAGATTTTCTTTCTACTTGAGCCCTTGGTATCACCATGTCCTTTCTTATTTGTGCAATTTGCATCCTTTCATGATTAGATTTTCCAGCGGTTTGTTAATTTAAAAAAATCCTTTAGAAGAACCAACTCCTTGTCTTGATCATTTTTATTATTTTCCTGTTGCATTTATTTATGCCCTAATCTTTATTTCTTTTATTTGGTAAATATTGTATAGGCTTTTTCATGTTGCTTGTTTCCTAAGAGTTGGAGATGCTGGGTTATGGTGTAGATTTTGGCTCTTTCTTCTTTTTTGATGTGTGTGGTTATAGTTATAAATTGCTTTCTGAGCACTGCTTTTGGTATGTTGATATTTCACATGTTATCAAGAGAGACTAGTCTCGTGAGGGGGAACATCAGGTTTAGTAAAGTAGAGATAAACAAAAAGGAGGGAGATTCTCATGAGGTGGATTGACTGTGGTAGCAACAATGGGCTTAAGCATAGCAATTATTACTATAACCTAGCACAGCAATTATTACTCTAACTAAGTAGGACTGCTCAGTGTTCTATTGTTGAGAGGGGTGTTATGGGTAGCTACCAGCTAGATAGCACCTAGTAACAACAGCCAGGTCTACAAAAGGAGAAGTATAGCTCAGGTAGAGGAGAGAGCATAGGTGCATGCCAGGGACCAGAAGCAGAGCTATAGCTGAACATTATACAAGGTACCAGTCTGGCAGGAAGTTAAGTATTTATAATAGAGATGGCAGATGAGATTGGAAAATTGGCTGGAATCAAACTGTGGAAGCATTAACTATCAGAATGAATAGGTTATCACTGAAGGTGTTAAAGCAAATTTAATGCTAGAAACATATATCCCTTTAAACCACAATTCAAAACACTCCATCATAAAACAGTTTGAGCAATTGGAAACAGTCTTTTATCCGTACCTGATAGACAATGTTTCCCTTGATAATTTAGATTATTGTTTTATTGTTGTGTCATGCAGAGGAAAACTGTTAAAATGAACGGTCCTGGACCATCATCTGTATTCTGTAACCCCAAAAACCTAACACAGTATGGCTCCCCTATAACAGAATCCCATTTCTTTTATCCTGATAGAAGAAAATCTATCAGATGCCAGTCACATCACCAACAACCTTCTTTTATTTTCTGTACCTTGATTACCCTGATATATTGTGATCAAAGCTGAAGCTTTGGCAACATAGTCACCGCCTCTCAAATCAAAGTCGTAAATTTTACACTAAAAATTGAGACTTTCTTTAGTAAATCTAAGAATTGGTTGAGGTTCAGAAGCTGGAGTCCCGGCCTCACATTCATAAACCATCATGACACTGTAGATATTGCAATAGTCCCTGTGCCCAGAGGAGTCTGGAAAATGCTCTTTGTATCCTGCCTCTGCTAGAGCAGGCATATGCGTGGTAAAGGAGGGAAGAGAATGTGAGACAAGTTGTACTGGCCTGGCAAGAGTCCCACCTAATTCCTTATGACGTGTCCAGTGCAGGTGACACGTTCCCTAAGGTGTGGGTAGGCAGTTAATTGAATGTAGAGTAGGAGGTGTGGGTTCGGCTTTTTTTTTTTTTAATTTGATGGTAGGGCATTATCTGTATGATCCTCATTCTCTTTGGAGTGTGGACTCCATGCAATGAGCAGTCACAGGAGTCTATTTTAAACAGACCCAAGGCCTTGGAAGGTGCTGACGTGGGTCCTGGTTTGGGTGGAAGACTTGGTTAAGAAGATTGTCTTGGTCAAAGATTAACGGAAGGGAAGAAATCTAGTGGGAAGAAGAGAACTGTGGGTTTCTGACCCCAATCCTCACAAAAGCTATGCCGTGAAAAGTTGCTGACCCACTCTCAGACAGCAAGTTGGACAGAATACTTTTCCCCCACTTTGGTGTGTGAAGTGGACCAGGCAAGAGGCACTGTTTTGTCCAGAGTGTTTGAAGGATGGCTTCCCAGTTTCATCAGCTTCGGATCCTGGTGTGGAAAAATTGGCTGGGTGTCAAAAGGCAGCCGGTAAGTGGAATTTTAAAAAAACCCAGTGGAGATGGGTAGCACTAAATTAATTGTCCTAGGCTAACCTTAAAAATGTAATATTCATGTAAAAAGAGAAGCATCTTTAGTCAGTTTCTAAAGAAAGAAATGAGTTATGTAGCATTCAGTCCTGTGTCTGTCTTAGAGCAAATAGGGCAAGTCTAAACGTGCCCCACAAGCAGCCTCTGGATTTCAGTAAATGACAATTGTAACTAGGACAGGCCCTCGGCAAAGAAAAGGATGTGCCTGGTTCCTGGTTGAACTGGGACTAGTGCTGAATTCTGGGCAGGGGTCAAAATGCTCTCAGAACTTCTCTTAAGGAATTGAGCGAATAGGGGGATGACGCAAAGCTGTTTCTAATAAAGGTACAATGAATGGAGAGACATGTGCTTAAAAATCAAAAGGATTGTGAAGTTTGGTTGAAAAATCAGATAAAAAAAGAAAAAAAATCAGATGTAGGAGGGAAATGGTTAGCGATGAAAGGGGCTTGGGGGGCTGTTAAGATAGAAAGGGGCCTAGGACATTTTAGTATGTAAAAGTGACTCGCTAGAAATGGCAGCTAAAAGTCCCTCTCTGTGGTTTTTCAAAAGTATTGCTGAATCACTTTCGTGCTTCAGCCTGTGTTCTCTTTGCTATGGCAACATCTTTTTGTGCTTTTATATTGTTCTTGCTGTTTTAAATTACAACGCCAGATATTATATTTTCCCCAGACAGAATCCCTGGGGAGTGAGAAAGGGATTGACTTCTATTTGTGAGTTGTCACCGATACAAAAAATGTTTCAGAATCAGAGAAATCAGAATGGGAACTCATTGTACTGCATTTTAGAGTGGTAATTACCAGTCTTGAGTGAATAATATCAATATTATGTAAATAAGATGCTCCGTGGACACTAATACATTATCTATGCACCTTAGCTCCTTCCAAACTTGCCTGAAGTGTTTGGCAGCTTACTTGCTGGCTTTGATGAATATCTTCAGAGCAGAAAGTCAATAGTCAGTGTTTACTTGTCTTTGTTAATTTGGGGTGTGGGGTCCTAAGTCATAGGGCATTGTGGGATAGCATGAGTGTGGGGTTCGGACAGAACATTAGGAAAGTATTAGTAGTTTCTTCATTTTTTTAACGTGAGACAATGTAACACAAACAATTTTCATAGTGGTCACATGATTGGGTCCGTGTGGGTTTACGCTGGAAAAGAGTTTGGGGTAAGTAGTTGGGGCTGTAGGGCAAGTGAAATGCCTGGCTCTGCTCCTCACTGGCTACATGACTTGAGACACCAATTCACAGCAACTCTATAGGGAGAGTAGAAGAATAGAACAGCCCCAAGGCTGTCACTCTTTACAGGAGCAGACTGACACTTATCTCTTCTATGCATGACTGGAGAATATATCACAATTTTTCTGAGTCCCCACTTTCCCATTTCTATAGTGTGCGTGAAGATTATCCTAAGGAACTCATAGGGGGAAGAGTACCAATTGTGCTAATATATTTAAAAGTGAATAAATAGTGAACCAAACCCATTACCATCCAGTCAATCCCACCTTATAGTGACCCTGTAAGATAGAGGAGAATTGCCCCTTTGGGTTTCTGAGATTTTAAATCTTTATGGGAGTAGAAAGCCTCATCTTTCTCCCTTGAATCGACTGGTTATGTTTGAACCATTGACTTGGCATAACCTGAGAAACCCACTATGCCGCCAGGCCTCTTTTATAAATGGTGAATCCCTTGGCAAATAGATTACAAGGGGTTCCCTGGTTATAAACATTCAATTTATATATAACCCACAGTTACAAACTACCCACTGCAAAGCCTATGATATTAAAATTTTGAGATACAAACAATGGTTAATAATAATATGGTCCTGCTATAGGATGTGCACTAAAGTATGATTATTATGTATTATTGTATTAGAGATGTAGTAGTGTGTCTGCTGGTGTTCCTGTAATTTTTAATGTAAATAAAGGCACAGGATATGCAGTATATGATGACAGATATCTGACTGTCTTTAGAGAGGAATGGTACCTATCGACTCTCACTTAGCTATAAATTCTACTGAAAGAAGGTTTTAGGAATGGAATTCATTTGCAATCTGGTGACTGCCTGTTTTGGGGGGGTAATGTAAAGTAGATTATTGGAGATTTGGGGCAATATATGTTGGGCATATTCGATTAAAATAGCTAGTGAAAGGAAACTTTACCTAACCATGTAAATAGCAACAACAACCCCACCCCCCCAAAATAATCAGGTAGATACATTTTTTCATTAAGATATTTTCTCTTTAGAATTTTTAATGACAGGTTTCTTTCTCATCTATAAAGTTGCTGATATATCAAATGTACACTTCAAGATGGTTTGCATTTTAGTCATTTTCCACTGGGCATGGTGACATATTTAAAGGAGATTCTAGTTAGGCTTGCTAAAATGTTTTCACTGTGATATTTGATTTTACTGCCATTGAGCCACGATTTCCAAAGCCCCAGTCAAATACATTTGTGTCTGGAAAAGATAACAAGTAACTCAAATCAAAGTGCAACCTGCAGAACTGGGACTGAGGACAGGAGGGAGCTCTGGGAAGTTTAGAATTTAGGACAGTGTATATGGTCCACTTCAATGCTATCTGATCACCCAGGGAGACATGGGAGGATTCTCCTTACCTATAGATGATGGTGGTACCAAAGAGGAGGGACAATCTTAGGAGAAAGGGGTGGGCAAGGGTGACTTTTTCCCCACCTTTCATAGATTTGCCTAGAACTAGCTCAGCCTTTTGACATTGGAAAGAAAATTTGAGGACACAGATGGAAAGGAGTGTGTGGTAGTGTTATCTTAGAGGGAAGAACAAGAATTTAAAGGTTGGAAAGTTTGAATTAAAGATTTAAAAGGGAAGAAAGGTTGTTTTCCATGTCCATTAGTCCAATGGTCTAAGGTACCACATGAACTTCTGCCTCCACTCCCCTGAACCCAAAGAACTATGTGATCACCACTTACTTCTCCCAACCACTTTGGAAAGGACTACAATAGAAAGTTTTGGAAAGTGGGAGAAGAATGTGGACAAAACTCTCGATCACAAAATCGACTCGGTTTACTGGTTGGATAGAGAGTGTTGGAACCCCTGAGGGTATAACCTTTTGTAACCCTCCAGTCCTGGAACCTAACACAGCCATGTGCCTCAATTTTCAGCCCAACCGTTGTCAGATCTATAGGGCGAAGGGTAACAGTAGGGAGGTATGCCACTCCTTAGAACAATCAGACATTTGAGATCGGACAGGCAGCACTTGTTCCAGGAAAAATTGTTCCTGGTGTCTCTCTCATAAAATCAAATACTAAAATGTGTCAATGTCTGAGACTGCTCCCTTAAGCCACAGGAGATGGATTGACACAGTGGTTGCAGCAGTTGGCTCTAGCACAGCACTTGTGAAGACGGCAGAGGGACAGGCAGTGTTGCGTTGGTTGTACGTAAGGTTGCTATGAGTCAGAGCTGACTCAACAGCAACAAACAATAACAACAACAACAACAACAACAACAACCATTGCCTTAATTTACTGGGTCCCAGAGAGTTCAAGGGGCTTTTATGAAGTCACGTAGCAACTTGAAGGTATCAAGAACAGATATTCCCACCCATGGGTCTCTTTTCTCCACTATTTCCTCTGCATTCTTATTGCTTCTGAGTTGTCTCCCTGTTTGACATGTTGTGATCCCTGGGGTGTAGAGGGTTATGCTGGAGGCTACTAACCCCAAGGTCAGCGATTACAATCCATCAGCCACTTCTCAGAAGACAGATGTGGTGTTCTGCAGCGGATGGTTTTGAACTACCGAGTTTACAGTTATCAGCTGAATGTGGAATCACTAGGCCACCAGGGCTCCTTGGTCTCAAGGACCCATAGAGGCAGTTTTATCCTGCCCTATGGGGGCAGGATATGAGTCAGAATCAACTCAATGGCAATGAGTTTGCTTTTGAGTTTGGATTCTAAGTATAACCCACTGAGGAAAAAGACTCTAGATACTTATGTTACTTTTGTTTTAAAAGCGTTAGTGGCCATATAAATTCACAATTATATCCCCCCCCACTAGAAAAAATCAGTTAGATGCAGTTATTACATTCCTGGGTTTGCAAAATTAAAGATTTAAAAGGGAAAAAACGTTGTAAAGATAAGGAGAAAGTGTAAAAATAAGGAGAAAGTGTGAATACATATCAGCACTCATGGTTAGTAACAGAGAAGCTCACAGAATGAGACGCTGGTTAACGGTAGGAAATAGTCCTGTGGAAGCAGAGGCTCTGTGTGCTGAAAGACTTGATGGGAGAAGCCGAGTCTAAGAACAGTCCACGCCATCCAGTGGGTGTCAACGCATAGTGACTCGGTATGGGGTTTCCGTGACTGTACATCTATCTTTACAGTTGCACACAGCTCCATCTTTCTCCTGAATCTGAATTGCCAAGTTTGCTCAATACCCAAACCACAGCACTGCCAGGCTCCATGAAGAAGAGAGGTCCAAAATAGGCATATTAAAGAGTGATTTTGTGTGAGTCTGGGTACTTTAGAGAAACAAATCCACAGAAACGCATGTGTAAAGGAAAGAGTTTTATATAAAGGTTAAGTGCACCTCAAGAAAACATCGCAACCCAGTGCTGCCCAAGCCCACAAGTCCAACATTAGCCCATATGTCTGACACCAAACCACAAAGTCTTCCCCCATCTCACAAAACACACACTGTGATGCCGACTGTAGGAGGAAAGCCGAATCAATGAATGTGTAAGCATTTCAGCACTGGCGGGGGTCTCACATGGCTGCTCCAGCACCCAGGGCTGCATTGGGTAGGTTCATGTGGCTTCTCCTTGGAGATGTCTTGCAGGAAGTGAGCCTTGCCAGCTGAAGCAGGGAACTGGCTAAGGCAGCTGCACCCTGGTCCAACCATCAGAAAGCAAGAGACCTGAGAACTCGAAAGGTGAGGCTCACTGAGCCATTTATCCCTCCGCCCTTCAATTAA